GGGGTGGGGTCATGATCAAGGGGGCGGTAGGAGGAGGTGTCGGAGAGTTGGCGTCTGGCCTCGGCGATGTAGAGGTCAGTGCGCCATACTACAACTGCGCCTCCCTTGTCCGCGGGTTTTATGGTGAGGTTGGGATTGGAGCGGAGGGAGCGGAGGGCTGCACGTTCTGCGGGGGAGAGGTTGGAGTGGGTGACAGGGGTGGAGAGGTTGAACGTAGTTCATTGAAAGCTGCGTCACAGGTGGACAGGGAGGTGAAGAAGGCATTTAGCATGCTGGCCTTCATTGGCTGAGGTGTTGACTATAGGAGTTGGGACGTTATGTTATAGTTGTATAAGTTGTTGGTGAGGCCGCACTTGGAGAATGGTGTACAGTTTTGGTCACCCTGTTATAGGAAAGACATAATTACACTGAAAGTGTGCAAAGGAGATTTATGAGGATGTTGCCAGGACTAGTAGACCTGAGTTATAGGGAGAAGTTGGCCAGGATAGGACTTTATTCCTTGGAACATAGAAGAATGAGGGGTGACCTTATTGAGGTGTGTAAAATCATGAGGGATATAGACAGGATGAATGAATATAGTCTTGTTCCTAGGGATGGGGAATTGAAAACTCAAGGGCATAGGTTTAGGGTGAGAGGGGAAAGATTTAAGAAGGAACTGAGGGGCAACTTCTTCCCGCAGAGTGTGGTGCGCATATGGAATGGGCTGCCGGAGAAAGTGGCTGAGGCAGGTACAATAGCAACATTTAAAAAGCATTTGGATAGGAACGTGAATGGGGAGGGTTTAGAGGGATATAGACCAAATGCGGGCAATTGGAACTGGCTGAGTGGGCACCATGGTCAGCATGGACCAGTTTGGGCCGAAGGGCCTGTTTCCATGTTGTATTACTCTATGACTCTGTAGAATGTGACGTTGTGTTGTGAAATTTCTGATTAGATATACGTTGATTTATTAAGATATGAAGGATTTTGTGTGCTACATTTGAGCTCAACAAACCCAATAATCATCGTTACCCCACCTTTACAATTATTCTAATCTGCTTTGAAGTGGAAAAGGAATGCTTTGTATAAAAATCCCAATGTAAAGCAATAATGCATTCCTGGATAGGTCTTATAGATTGGGTCTTAGATAAAACAGTGAATGGTGTATGATCTACAACCAACAGTTTTCCCTTCAGTGCTGTAATACTGAGTGACAGGGAGTAATGTAGGAACATTGACATCAGTTAATTACCATTGATCATTACTGGAAGCCAAAGTCTAATGATTTATTCTGAGGCAGGAATGCAGAGTCAATTAAGCACATTTCCTAGTTCAAAATGCTGCAATAAAATGTTAATACTGTGAGGCTAATTCCCCGCTGATGCACAGACATAATATGCGTGCACTGTGAAATGAAGTCCTCAGACAGATATTTGCAGCACACAGAAACATGAACATACAAACAAGGAACAAGAGTACACCACTCAGCACTGTCAGCCTGCTTCCCCCATTCAATAAGATTGTGGCTGATCGGATTTTAACCTCAATTTTACATTCCTGCATATTCCCCGATAATTTTTCATCCTGGTCATCCATCAAGAATCTATCTACCTCTGCCTTAAAAAATATTTTAAAATGGGCCAGCATTTATTGCCCATCCCTAATTGTCCCGAGGCAATTTTTAAAATTCATTTACGGGATGTGGGCATCTCTGGCTTGGCAGCATTTATTGCCTGTCCCTAATTGCCCAGAGGCAGTTAAAAGTCAGCCACATTGCTGTGGGTCTGGAGTCACATAGACCAGGTAAATTCAGGTGATTCAGATAGGTTTTTCCTGGCAATTGGCAATGGATTCATGGGGATCATTAGATTCTTAATTTCAGATTATTATTGAATTCAAATTCCACCCTCTGCCATGGTAGGATTGGAACCCAGGTCCCCAGAACATTACCTGGGTGTCTGGATTAATAATCTAGCGATAATACCATTAGGCCATTGCCTTTTGAGGAAGGGCATTCCAAAAACTCTCAACCTTCTGAGAAAAAAATGCTTCTTCATCACTGGCTGGACCAGCATTTATTACCCACCTATAATTGTCCAGAGGGCAGGTAACAGTCTGACGATGACCAACAGTCTGATGTTGGGGAAAAACCCATCTGGTTCACTAATGTCCTTTAGGGAAGGAAACTGCCATCCTTACCTGGTCTGGCCTACATGTGACTCCAGACCCACAGCAAAGTGGTTGACTCTTAACTGCACTCTGGGCAATTAGGGACGGGCAATAAATGCTGCCTAGCCAGCAATGCCCTCATCCCATAAATGAATTAAAAAGCCCTTGTCGTTTTTTTGCTCAGTGACAGTGCCACCCAACACAATGGAGGTTGTTCTGTGTGAAGGCAGGACTTTGTCTCCACAAGGACTCTGCGATGGTCACTCTTACCGATACTGTCATGGACAGATGCAACTGCAGCAGGCAGATCAGTAAGGATGAGGTCAAGTGTGTTTTTCCCTCTTGTTGGTTCCCTCACCACCTGCCGCAGACCCAGTCTAGCATCTATGTCCTATAGGAGCCAACCAGCTCGAGCAGTAGTACTGTTGCTGAGCCACTCTTGGTGGTGGACATTGAAATCCCCCACCCAGAGTACATTTTGTGCTCTTGCCACCCTCAGTGCTTCCTCCAAGTGTTGTTCAACATTGAGGAATACTGATTCATCAGCTGACAGTATGTGGCAATCAGCCGGAGGTTTCCTTGCCCATGTTTAACCTGAAGCCACGAGACTTCATGGGGTCTGGCATCAATGTTGAGGACTCCCAGAGCAACTCCCTCTCGACTGTATACCACTGTGCCGACCCCTCTGCTGGGTCTGTCCTGCCGGTGGAACAGGACATATCCAGGGATGGTGATGGTGGTGTCTGGGACATTGTCTGTAAGGTATGATTCTGTGAGTATGACTATGTCAGGCTGTTGCTTGACTAGTCTGTGAGACCGCTCTCCCAATTTCGGCACTCGCTTAAATTGAAAATAGTAGTCTTAGAGCACATTTCTCTCCCTAAAACTGTATGTAAAATTCAAGCACATTATAGTTGCTGTTATCCAGGGACACTTTCACAATCCACTCTCATTGATCCACACCAAGTCAAGTACAACCTGCTCTCCAGTTGGTGCCAGAACATGCTAATCTAAGAAATTGTCCCGAAAACATTCAATGAATTCCTCATCTAGACTACTTTTCCTGTCCTTATGGAGATTAAACTCCTCCATGATTATTGGATTACTGTTTTGACAAGTTCCCATTGGTTCTTTGATACCCTGTCCTACCATGTGGTTACTGTTAGTGGGTCTGTGCACAACTCTCACAAGTGACTTCTTGCTTTTATCATTCCACATCTCGACCCAGACTGTTTCCATATTCTGGTTTCCTGAATTAAGGTCATCCCTCTCTATTGCGCTATTATCATCTTTAATTAACACAGCCACTCCTCCACCCTTTCCTAGCTCTCTGTTCTTGCCCAATGTGACATACCCTTCAATATTCAGGTCATAATCTCGGTAATTCCTTCTTCTGTTGCATTTCCCCAGTGCTTGATTCACCACAACTTCCCAAATTTGTGACCCTGCCCTCACCATTTATTTTAAAATCCACTGTACTTCAGAAATGCAGTACTTTAGAAATGCAGTTCCCAAGATCACCAGTCCCTGGATGGTTCAGGTGTAGGTTGTTCCATCATACAGCTTCCACTTTCCCCAGTACTGTTGCCAGTGCTCCACGAAAGGACCCCATTTCTCTCAGTCAAGTCTTTCAGACACGTATTAATTTCTCTACCCTTGTTTACCTGATGCCAATTTGCATGTGGCTCAGGTAACAATCTAAAGATTTGAGGTTCTGCTTCTCACTTTGGTGCCTATGGCCATGCAGAATCTCTTTCCTAGTTCCAATACCGTTGGTGCCTACATGGATCATGACAATTAGATCCTCACTGTCCCACTGCGAGTTCTCCTCCATTCCAGAGCAGACAAACACAGAGCCTGGACTCATGTTCTTTGCTGCAGACAGCAGTGTCAATCCCTTTGTGTAGTACATTGTTCAATGCTCATAGAGGGCAGAAAACCAACCCCAAGTGTGAATGGCAGACATAAGCTTTCTCTTTATTTCTTCATGGGATGTGAATGACACTGATTGGGTCAGCATTTATTGCCTGTCCCTAGGGGCCCTGGAAAAGCTGGCAGTGGGTGAGCTGCCTCTTAAACTGCTGCAGTTGCACGCTGTGAATGCTATTAGAGAGGGGGTTCCAGTGAAACCCTTACACTTATTGCTACACAATGCTCGAGCAATGGAGTTTAGTCATTCTGCAAAAGGTGTTTCTAATTCCTACCTCTGATGACAACAACCGACGAGGCAAGATGAATGAAGAAATTGTGGCAGCTGTTGATCCATAATCGAGAAGGTGATTTGCTCCTACGTTCTATAAGACATACACCATACGTCATGACACATTAATGATCAAACATCATTGACAGTTAGTGCTCCTCTATGTGAACAATTGCTGCTTGACAGAAGGCATGTACTAGACAACATCAACCAATAGAAACACCAGAAACAACAATTAAACATCCTTCAAAGGCTTTGTGAAAATGCCACCATTGTCAACATGCGATTTCAACGTGCGATTCGTTGTCAACGTTTGATTCGTTGTCAACTCTGGAACTCAGAACACACCATGACTACATTAAACATTCTGATAGACCCATTTGGATATTCTATACAATTCAGAGAGGCACTATATAGAATGCATAGGGAAATTCTAGTCTCTCTCCTCAATGATAGATGCAGAAGATATGGACAAATTTCTTTTGCCCACACTGAACACGGTCCTCAGTGTTAATGTATGTAGCTTCTAAGCACATGTAAATGCACACACTGGGAGCCCGATGGATAATCTTAAATTGGTTTCTGGGATAACTCTTAGCACAGTTGGGATTATGTAGAGAACGCTGTCCATTATTAGATTCACATCTAATGTTGGCCATGATGTTCTGAGCATTATAAGCACAGGCTGATTAGCATGCTGCCCACTGTGGGTGTTTTGATATGGTCCACTGTCACTGGGATGAACAGCCTATGTACCCAACATCACACAGGCACTGTAACTCATATATCACATTACACATTTGTGTGGAATGTGAAACATCTTTTTGGCTGAAAGGCAGTATCAAGCTCCTGAACTTGGCAATTCACACAGTCTCATTGAAACCATGTATACCAAAATAGCTGGCATTGCCCTGGGATCCCAACTAGGCCAGGCTCTTGCTAACAAGAGCAGCTTGTCTTTGATTAAATAACCATTTGCGCATTTCCGATAAACAAATGATACATTTGTGATCTTTAAATTTGCAGCTGCTAAGAATTTCCTTACACAGCTTTAATAAGCTTTAATATTCTGAGCTCAGTTTATCATTGACATGGAGAAATCAAACAGTGTCCTTTGCTTGATGCATCAGTTGAGAAACTTGCCAATGGTTTCTATTGTTCCCACTCCCCCACCCCCCCACACCCCATCACTGGGGCAGTCTGTGATCCCTACTCTCAGCTCCCCCAGCCCTGGGCTGTCTGCCTGTGTCAGTCCACCCCAACTCTAATGGAAATCATGCTCCTGCTATTTGTGGAGTTGTCACAGAAGTTAGGGACACAGATTTTTTACAGCGCAGAAAGAGGCCCTTCAGCCCATCATGTCTACTGAGGTCAGTAAACATCCGTCTATTCAAATTAACGATATTATTAAGGTACACAGAACTCCCAATTTCCCTGTCATTCAGACCCCAGGCTGACAGAAAGCACAGACCTAGTTTCTGTATTTAACAAGAATTACTATTTTTTAACGAAGAAATAGATTCCAGCTAAGGTAAATAACATGGACATATAACCTCACTAGTTTTGTTTTATTCACCCACAGGATGAGGTCATCACTAGCCTAGGTCATCTTTACTGGCCATCACCAATTGGCAAGATGGCAGATAAGAGTTAAGAGTCTGGAATCACATGTAGGCCAGATCAGGTAACAATGGCAGATTTCCTTCCCTAAAGAATCAGATAGGTTTCTCTTGAAAATTGATTGGATAAAGAACAAGAAAACAAAGAACAGTACAACACAGGAACAGGCCCTTCGGTCCATCAAGACTGCACCAACACATGATTCCTTTCGAAACAAAAAGCCTTCTGACTCTTTGCAGTCCATATCCCTCTATTCCCTGCCTATTCATGTATCTGTCAAGATGCCTCTTAAACATTGCTATTGTATTCCCCTTCACCACCTCCTTTGGCAGTGCATTCCAGGCACTTACCACTCTCTGTGTAAAAAAACTTGCCTCTCACATCTCCTTTAAACTTTCCCCCTTTTTACCTTGAACCTATGCCCCCCAGTAATTGACATTCTACTCTGGGAAAAAAACTCTGACTATCCATGCCTCTCATAATTTTGTAAACTTCGATCAGGTTGCCCCTCAATCTCCAATGTTCAAGTGAAAACAAACCCAGTTTGTCTAATCTCCTCTCATAGCTCATACCCTCCAAAGCAGGCAACATCCTGGTAAACTCTTTCTGACTCTCTCCAAAGCCTCCACATCCTTCTGGTAGTGTGGTGACCAGAACTGTAGACAATATTCTAAAAGGGGCTAAGAAGTTCTGTACAGCTGCAACATGACCTGCCAACTTTTATACTCAATGCCATGAAGGCAAGCATGTCATACACCTTTGTGACCACCTTATCCACTTGTGTTGTCACGTTTCAGGGAACTGTGGACCTGTACGCTTGGATCCCCCTGTAGGTCGATGCTTCTAGGGTTTTTGCCATTTACTGTATACTTCCCTCTTGTATTAGGTCTTCCAAAATGTATTGTCTTGCATTTGTCTGGATTAAACTCCACCTACTGTTTCTCCCCTCAAGTCTCCAGCCTGTCAATATCCTGCTGTATGCTCCAGCAATCCTCCTCACTATCTGTAGCTTCCCCCAATCTTTGTGTCATCTGTGAACTTGTTGGTCAGACCAGCTACATTCTCCTCCAAATCATTTAAATATATTACAAACAACAGGGGTCCCACCACTGATCCATGCAGAACAACACTGGTCACAGGTCTCCAGTCAGAAAAACACCCTTCCACTGCTCTCTGGTCTTCTCTGACTAAACCAGTCTTAATGCCAGATTTTACTGAATTCCAATTTCATCATGGCAGGATTTAAACCTGGAACATTACTTGAGTCTCTGGATTAATAGTATAGCAATAATACCATTAGGCCATCACCTCTTTCTCACTGATTTGAAGCAGAAGGATATTGTGAGATTCCCAAGCTAGCAATGTTGGCCTTTACAATGGATGCTATTCTTAAAAATATGTTGATTTTGGTCTTTACAAAGGTGGCAGAGCTAGCATATTATATGTTGAGATGATAAAGAATATTTATAGCCAGTCATAGTGTGGATCTGATACCTAATTATTTGTTGAATGATTAGTAATTCATTGTGACAGAGAATGAGGTAAGTGTGAGGTTTGATGTGAGAACATTTCCACAGGACAGATTTTACCTAAACATAGCCCAATAGATGAAGGCTGAAAGTTGTTTTACTCACCATGTCTGGTGATGCATGCATGTTTGCCTTCTGTCTCTTGAGGTCTGATTTAATTGTAGCTGTTAAATGAAATGGTTGCATTGTTAATTAACTTCCCATTTCTGTGCTCTCTGTTCCTCCTCCTTATTAACAATAAAATACCAGAAATAATGAATCTGAAGCCCAAACACAAAACCATTCCAGGGCATTTCAACAGAGGCATTGTGAGCTTACAGAGAAGCAGCACTAATTTACATCAGGGCAACAAGGCAGCACCGTACTGTCAGCAGCAAGTACCCAGTGCTGTCTGCTTCTGACAGAGCTGAACACAACTCAGTCATTTATTAAATTATAAAGGACTTAGAAGCATGGCTTAGTAAGTGAGTAGGCAGAATAAAATTTAACAAACAAATATGTAAAGGATTGCACATAAGAAGCAATAATAGGCAACAAATGAATGGTGCTGAACTGTGATGAAATGTGTGTGAATTATATTTATATCTCTTGTATATCTCTGGTCACGTTAAGAGATGAGATTTCATTCTTGTGGCATATGGGTGCTGATGACATTTGTGAAGAGTCTGAGAAAACGCAAGGTCAGACAGTTCTTTCTAGAACCATGACCTAATACAGTTTGTATAAAGTTATATGACGTCCCAGAATTTATTGCTCATTCCTAATTGCCCTTTGAGAAGGTAATACTGATGAACCGCCTTCTTGAGCTGCTCCAGTCTCTGTGCTGAAGACTGACCCACAATGCCCTTAGGGAGGGAATTCCAGGATTTATACCCAGCGACAGTGAAGGAACAGCAATTTCCAAGTCAGACTAGTGAGTGGTTTGGAGGGGAACCTGCAGGGGGTGGTGTTCCCATGTATCTGCTGCCCTTGTCCTTCTAGGTGGAAGTGGTCATGGGTTTGGAAGGTGCTGTCTGAGGATCTTTGGTAAATTTCTGCAGTGCATCTTGTAGATGGTACACTCTGCTGCTACTGAGCGTCGGTGGTGGAGGGAGTGGATGCTTGTGGGTTTGGTGCTTATCAAGCGGGTTGCTTTGTCCTGGATGGTATCAAGCTTCTTGAGTGTTGTTGGGGCTTAACACCCAGGATGTTGATGATGACTGATAATTCCTTTTTTGTGACTTTATCTGATAATACTGTAATTTCCAATATGTACAATATAGATTTCCTCACCAGTTATCACAGTTCCAATGAAGAGAAACACAGAGATGAAAATGTTCCCTGCCACAGTCCCAAAGTGATCAATCAGTTTACCCTGTGCAATGGTAAAAGTAATTCCGAAAACCTAAAATATAAAAACACAAATCTAAATTCAACTCAGCAATTTTTAACAACATGTTTTGTCTTTCCTTTATTCATTCACGGGATGAGGGAGTCAGTGGCCAGGCAGGATTTATTGCCCATCCCTAATTGCCCAGAGGGCAGTTCAGAGTCAACCACATTGCTGTGGGTCTGGAGTCACATGTAGGCCAGACCAGGTAAGGATGGCAGTTTCCTTCCCTAAAGGACATTCGTGAAACAGATGGGTTTTTCCAACAATTGACAATGGATTCACGGTCATCATTAGATTCTTAATTCCAGATATTTATTGAATTCAAATTCCACCATCTGCTGTGGGTTTACCTGAGTTTCTGGATTAACAGTCCAGTGACAATACCACTAAGCCATCGCTTCCCCATTTTCTCGAAGGTGAAATAATTTTTGGGACTAGATGAGGGTCTTGAAAAGCAAGTATGTAAAACAGAAATGTGATCCCATATATTGCCTTTCTTTTTTTCAAAAGTTGAATTTACAGCCAATGTGCAATAAGCCTTGGGGGATAAAGGGGAAGAAGTTAATTGAGAAACTAATCAGAAGACACCAAGCCTGGTTTCTAAATTTTGAAGATGGAGGTAGAGGTGAGGACGAAGATGAATTTCAGAGTTTGAGGGCCTGGGAAAGTATTCTTGGAGCCCCTGCAATGAGTCCCAAAGGAAACCTGAAGATGATGTCAGAAGAAGGAAAACTCAGGGAAGGAGGAACTATGGGATGTGTACTTGATGTTTAGGTGGAATCTAACAGGAATTACAAAACAGAAATGACCATTCTGAAAGGGAGACAGTGTGACAGAGACAGAGATAAGATGAAATAGGGAGATAGAGAGAAGAGAGAGAGAGATAATTGGATAAGTTTACACACTGAAGACAGGTGGCAGGAATTGGAAAAATTCCTGGATTTATTTTGTAAAAACTGTATAATTTTATTTTTCTGTTTTTTTTTATTGTGGCTGAAATGGGAAAAGGAATTATTTTAAAAAAGCCATATGAAAAGGACTGTGAAAGGAATTGCGGCATACATAAAAACAAGTTACTAAAACTCAATGCAAATCATGTTAACACTGAGTTGGGGAGCGGGGGGGCGCGAATGCTGAGTTCTGATTAGCTCAGGTGCAGCTGAACAGCTTATGGGTGTACCTGATACTGGCAGGAGCTTACAGATTGCTGTAAGGACAGATAGCGTGTATTTCTCTCCAGTAAAATACCTAAAGATTGAAGAAAGCCAATTTATGACAATGTCAGGCAGAAAATAACTGAGAACCAGTTATAGGAAAGATATTATCAAGCTGGAGACAGTTCAGCAGAGATTTACCAGGAGGTTGCCAGGTATGGAAGGTTTGAGTTATAAAGAAGGGCTGGATCAACTGGGACTTTTTTAACTGGAGCATAGGAAGTTGAGAGGTGACCTGATAGAAGTTTATAAAATAAAGAAAGATATTGATAGAGTTTAATGGTAGTTGTCTTTTCCCTAAGATGGGGAATTTCAAGACTAGGGGGCACATAAGAGGAGAAAGATTTAAAAAAGACAATTCGGCAAATTTTTTACACAGAGGATGGTTTGCATGTGGAATGAACTTCCTGAGGAAGTGGTGGATGTGGGTACAATTACAGTGTTTAAAAGATATTTGGATGGATATATGAATAGGAAAGGTTTGAAAGGATATGGGCCAGGAGCAGGCAGGTGGGATTAGTTTAGTTTGGGATTATGTTCGGCATGGACTGGTTGGGCCGAAGGGTCTGTTTCCATGCTGTATGACCCCATGGCTCTATAACCAAAAGGAATATCGAAGGTTCTGCACATAGGTAGTAAAGCAACTAAGAGAATCATAGAGGAATGATGAGAGAAGACTGTCAGCTGACATAATCAAGTGTCCCAAAGTCTTCTCTGGCCATATATATAATAAAAGGGTAGTAGAAGGAAGAGTATGTGTTGCAAATCCAGCGTTAGCGAATTTTTCTGAAGAAGGCTCTAGGCCCAAAACATCAGCTTTCCTGCTCCTCTGATGCTGCTTGGCCTGCTGTGTTCATCCAGCTCTACACCTTGTTATCTCATATTCTCCACCATCTGCAGTTCCTACTATCTCTTAGTGAATTAGATCTGGTCTGGCTTGCTATCCCTGTGTGATAACACAAGACTCAGGCTAATGAAACCTTAACAATGATAGGAAATCAACAAGCGCTAGGCAGCAGGTTTAAATGGGACTGGGAGATAAGAAATCATATGTGTCCAGGATTTCTGAAATGTCCACATTGTCCAATTGATGTTTCAAATCCCATCTATTGGTGGAAGGTCACAAAGAGGGCCACAGGACGAGCAAGTGTGTTTTACCTGCGCAGATTCATTAAGCAGGCCTGAAGATGTCCCCTCAGACTCAGGATAGGTAAGTTCTGCACCAAATTCAAAGCCAAGGGGTAAGTAGCCTGTCATAAAGAACCTGAAAAATAAACAGGAAGAATGGCTGCGTGAGAACCATCCTAACAAACACAACTAACCTTTGTAGAACAAAAACAAAGTTGCGGGAAAAGCTCAGCAGGTCTGGCAGCATCTGTGAAGGTAAAAACAGAGTTAAGGTTTTGGGTCCAGTGACCCTTCCTCAGAACCGGACCTGAAACATTAACTCTGTTTTCTCCTTCATAGATGCTGCCAGACCTGCTGAACTTTTCCAGCAATTTTGTTTTTGTTCCTGATTTACAGCGTCCGTAGCTCTTTCAGTTTAAACCTTTGTAGAAATTTACTTTTGGGATATGGGCATCATTGGACAGCTTGGCACTTATTGCCATTCCTTTGTTGTTCATGCTTTCAGAAACTGCTGTCCCTGCTCTCTCTCACAAGAACAGAAATATTGCAGAAACTCAGCAGGTCTGGCAGCATCTGTGGAAAGAAAGCAAAGTTAATATTTCGAGTCCGGTTACTCTTCATCAGAACTGACAGCAGTGAGGAAAAGGTGGTATTTATGCTGAAGATGGGGAGTGGGTGTTTGGAGGAAAAGGAGAGGGGAGAGGTGAGTTGATAGGTGGAAATGGAACCCAGAGAGAGAGGTCTGAAAGGGGGAAGTAAACAAGGAGAAAATTTGGATGTCAGGCCAGGACAGAAGAAACATAACAGGATGAGGGTGTGGGGTGGGTAAAAAGCATGGAATGATGGAGTCAGGTTCTAAAGTGATTGAACTGGATGTTGAGTCCTACAGGCTGCAGGATTCCCAAGTGAAAATGAGGTACTGTCCCTCCAGTTTACACTGAGATTTGCTAGAGCACTGCAGTAAGTCTGAGACAGAGGTGTTTGCCAGGGAACACAGCGGTGTGCAGAAGTAGCAGGGAACAGGAATCTCAGGTGTCTCAGAATCTCAGGAATCTCAGAAATCCCATTTTCTGATGAAGGGTTTAGGCCCGAAACGTCAGCTTTCCTGCTCCTCTGATACTGCTTGGCCTGCTGTGTTCATCCAGCTCTACACCTTGTTATTTCAGATTTTCCAGCATCTGCAGTTCCTACTATCTCGGAATCTCAGGGTCTTTTTTTACGGACAGATTATAGGTGTTCTGCACAGTGGTCACGCTTCGTTTCCCCAAGGGATTGCAGTTTAAGAATAAGGAATTGGTGCTGTGATTCTTTAGATCCCTGATGGGTCTTTAGCACAATTACTGAACGTAGTATTTGCCCCCTTACCTCAGCAGACTCCTGCAACAGAGGGGGTGCGGCAAAGGTTCACTAGACTCCATGCTCAGACAAAGAGACTGCCCTCTGAGGGGAAATTGAGGGCAATGGGCCTATATTTTCTGGTGTTCACAAGAATGAGAGGTGAAAATTTTGGGGAATACAAACAACTGGGCCTCAATTTCTCCTCAAAACACAATCCCAACGGATTAATTGAGTATCCTTTGTTGCATTCCCCCCTTTGGTAAGTATATCCTTCTTTCAATAAGGAAACCAACATTGAGCACAGTACTCCAGGTGAGGTCTCACCAAGGCTCTATACAATTACAGCAACTCCTGACCTCAATTCCTGTTGTGATGAAGGACAAAGCACTGTTTGCCTTTCCAGTTACTTGCTGCACCTGCATGTTCGCTTTTACCGACTCATGGACAAGAATACCCAGGTCACCTTGGACACCTGCACTTCCCAACCGCTCCCACTTGTATTTTTTTTCATCAAAGTGAATAGATGAGAGAGTGCAGGAGTCACTGGGTGTGTGTTAGCTGTGGAGGCACCTGGAAGGGATGACACCTTGGAGGAGTGTAATTCAGTCTATGATATGCAATATATAAAGGGATTATCCGGGAGGGAACAGTCAACAGCAGAAAACTAATTGTTGTCAGTGATTCAATCCTCGGGGAATGGAGCACAGAGAATGGGTTGGGATAGAGAATGAACTATTTCTAAATCCACCATCATGAGTCCCAGAGGGTGTGGTGTCTCCCTCAGTGTCAAAGCAAAAGGCATCACAAGGAAGGGGCAGAGTATTCCACAGTGGGAAATGACAGAGCTGGAAGCTGTGATACTCATCAGTAGCAACAGACAGCAGGAAAACAAGGTCCTGTGGAAGACCTCAGCAGCTAGTGAGGAAGTTAAAAAGTAGGATCTGGAAGGTAATCACAGGATGAGAGATGGCCCAGGACAAGGGTTTCAGACTCATTAAACATTATGTCAGTCTCTCGTCATTCGTTGATCATCCTCTAATTCAGTCTCTCCCCCTCTGACACTGAAGCACTCTCTCAGTACTGTCCCTCTGACACTGAGGCACTCCCTCAGTACTCTCCCTCTGACACTGAGACACTCCCTCAGTACTCTCCCTCTGACACTGAGACACTCCCTTAGTATTGTCCCTCTGACACTGAGGCACTCCCTCAGTATTGTCCCTCTGACACAGGCACTCCCTCAGTACTAACCCTCTGACACAGGCACTCCCTCAGTACTAACCCTCTGATACTGAGGCACTCGCTCAGTAATGCCCCTCTGACACTTAGACGTAATAAATAAGAAGAAAATAAACTTTGAGGGTAAACTCAAGCAATATCAAAATGGATAGTAAGAGCTTCTTTAAGTATATAAAATGGAAGAGAGAAGTCAAAATGAGTACAGGCCGCTTAGAAAATGAGGCTGGGGAACTAATAACAGGGAAACCAGGAAGTGACAGAAGAGTTCCATAAATATTAATACACACATTAAAGATGAGAAAAATGTACGTAATATAGCTAAGTTTGCAGGTGGCACAAAAATAGGTGATAAGGCAAGTGGTGAATGGTGACACAAACAGACTGCAGAGGGATATAGGCAGATTAAGTAAGTGGGCAAAATCTTGGTGGAAGGAATATAATGTGTAAAATGTGAGGCCATGCATTTTATCAGGAGGAATAAAAGAGCTGAAAATTATTTAAATAGGGATAGACACCTATTTAGGGATAGAAAGTTACGGAACAGAGAAATCTGGGTGTTCTCATTCATGAGTCGCAAAAACTAGCAAAGTTCAGTGGGTAATAGGGAAGGCAAATGGAATGTTGGTCTTTATTTCAAAGGGAATGGAGTATAAAAGTAAGGAGGTTTTGCTAAAACAATACAAGGCACTGGTCAGACCACAGCTGGAATACTGTGAACAGTTTTGGACCCCTTATCTAAGGAAAGATATACTGGAGGCAGCCTAGAGAAGGTTCACCAGGCTGATACCAGGTACGGAGGGACTGTCTTATGAGGAGATGTTAAGTAGGTTGGGCCTGTACTCATTGGAATTTAGAAGAGTGAGAAGAGACCTTTTTGAAACCAGGAAGATTTTCAGTTGATTTGATAGGGTAGCTGTGGAGAGGCTTCCCCTTGTGGGAAAGTCTCGGACCAGAGGGTCACTCAGGATGACTGTACTGGTCTAGTGGGAGATCTGAAACAGATGCCATCAAACTCTAACCAGTGTCTAGCAAGGCTGTGTACAGACCCTACACTATTTACAATCTACCTGACAGTCAGTATCTGCCTCAAAAGAGTAACTATCCTTTTGTGCCAATACTAAATACCATCTAGATGGAAAACTCTTTAACCTCAAATATCTCCATGCCAAAACTAAACTAACCATCATTGATATTCTTGATGTACATTTTGCAGATGAGTGCAGTGACATTGTCCCCTCTGCACCATCTCGTCCACCAGTTCCTGTTTTCCCAACTCTCCAATAGCCAACGCTCCAGAGGAGGTCAAAGAAACTGCATCAATGACACTTTGAAGCTTTCCTTGAAGAACAGAAACATTAATATTAATGACTGGGAGGAATTTGCCACCAGGTACTTCAAATCTGTGCCCCTGTCTATTGTACTTTCTGGATCTAGTTTCTTCTTCGTTGCTCAATTTTGAAAACAAAATCTTGAATTGAGCTTCTTTGTTCTCGGGAAAGCCACTCCAGTTCTCTAGGCTCTCCATACATCTGATCTCCTTTATCATTGCAATAAATCTCCTCTGCATCCCTTTCCAAACCCTTTGCATTCTTCCTCAAGTGTAGTGCCCAGAACTGAATACATTTTTCTGGATTAACGAGTGATTTGTAGAGGATTAGAGCAAATTCTTTAATTTTTATTCCATTCCTCTGTTTGTAAAGTCGAGGACATTGGACAATTGGACTCTACTGTTGCTGATGACAAGGGCTTTCTGCTTGGCAACAACTATGTGATTGGTTCTCAGGTAGCTGAACAGCTTGAGGTTAGCAACAAGATAGAGAAAAACCTTCAGATCTCTACAGGCTCAGGAGCATCCCACTGTTCTCTGCAGTAAATGCCATTTTAAGCCTGTAGAAAATCAGTTTACCTTTCCTTCTGCAGTTGCTTTAAACTGTGACTTCTCATTAATAAGTCAGACACCTTTTACAAGTTCCAGTCATCCTGTGGCTCCTGCAAGCCAGTGGAAGCAGCTAGGGAAGGAAGACCAAGAAGTGGCATTCTGACCAGCCCAAGGTGCACCTCAGCAGATCTCAAGAATAAGGACAGCTGAACTGCTTTTGATCTTTCCCTCTGCTCAGAACACCCATGTTAATTTACACGCATGCACAAGTGTGTATGTCTAAGGAGGGAATTACTGAGGATTGGAGTAGAGTTAGGTGCTGACAGTTCCATATTGTTCACCTGTACCTACAGTCTACTTACTGGTAATAAATAGTAATTTTTGTAAGAACAGAAACCTGTTCTGTGCTTTCTGTAAACCTGAATCTAAAAATCAGGTAAATTGCAGAATTCTGTATTTTTAAATAAAAATCTTTAACTCTGTGACAATTTGAAAGGCTTGATTTCCAACAGGCTGCCCCTGGGAGGTGTAACATGACACATACTGACCAGTCACCTTGAGAGGCTTGCCATCTGTCTGTTCTATCACTCTATCAGAAAACAGCGTAAAGATGCTTCGACTTACCCCAGCATTCCAGCAGTCAGAAAGACAACCCACAGGTGACCCAAGTTAAGTGTGAATGTGAAAGTCACCATCCCTGCGAAGGCCAGGAAGTAAACCACTGATGTTGTTTGTCTAAGAGAAAAGGTAAAAGATGAGCAGTTTGAGAGGATTGCTATTGTACTGGCTTTCCCTATCTTACAACGGTGTGTTAGTATCCGTGAACTTTCCACAGGTAAAGTACATCACTGATGGTTACTTGCCCACCCATTCCCACTTGGTAGCTTGGTTTATCTTCATCTGTCGGTCTCTTGGAAGACTCCTACTTCAGGCAGGTGCATGAGATATGAAGTGGTCTTGATCTGTTTCATCCAATGACCAGTTCGCTCTGTTAAAGATGAACTGCTGCTTCCCTTCTGCAATGCCCATCAGTGATGGTAATTACCCTGGAACTGCCTTCATAATTAAAGGAAGCTGCCACAAATATCATCAGCTATATAATTGTCAAGAGAATAAACAGTGAAGCAGACGTCCTATGTTGACATGAGCCACACAAACCATCCTAAATCACACACAACAGTTAAAAGAACTCCATTCGTCTTGTCCAGTCAGTCTAGCACACAAAGTTCTGCCTCTGTTCACTCTGACTTCATGCAGCCCAATAGCCCATGGTTGTGCAGAGCAGGAGGTGTTTGTGTTTAATATCTGGGGCAGTGCATTCAAACTGAGGCTGAGACCTCACACTCAGCCCTTTGAAGGAAATCCCTAGTCAAGCAGTTAGCCATATTAGCATTGCTTTGTTACATGAAAGCATTCAGCAGCCTGGTGAAGTACCGACGTGCTGTTCCGCAGAGTAGTACGATGCAGGGTCGTGCACTACGATGCTCCGAACGCCGGATTCCTGATCTCAGCTGGACCACCAAAGGCAGGGGCACCGAGTAGAGAAGAGGGAAAAATCGAGGAAGTCAACTTGTGGTCCTCCTAGCACCCAGTTAGAAAATGGATGGAACTGTTCTAACAAGAAAGAATAATCTCTGTTACACTGAGTCCCAGTGAAGGGACTGCTAGCACACCAATTCACCACAAGAAACACTGAAGAGGCCCAGAGGCTTCTATGCCCAATCTCTCCCAAACAAAGGGTTGAGTTGGGAAGGGGAAGAAAGGAAGGCCTAAGGAAGGAATGAAACAAAACCGTAATGGAAAAGCTCCCATCAGATTGAGTTCCCCACCACAGCATGTGGTCAGCTCTCATTACAGCAAGGAAGTGGTTGATCTCCCACTCTGAGCACACCAAAGCAGTGCATGGTAAACCTGCTGTACTCAGTAGCTTGCTGCCCGAGGGAGTGAAGATGTCATCACTGCCCATCGCCTTCCCTCTGCCCCTCCTCCAAAATTACACAAGAGTCGAGCCAACCCAGCACCCACCGTCCCCCCACCCCAACCAACAGCAGATGGAACCCAGGATCAGTCATGCTGTGTGCTGCAGCATCCACATTGTAGCCTGCTTGCATCAGTCATAACTGGTTTCACACAGATGTCACTGATACTGCCAGTCCTGTTAAACGGAGTTGCACAAAACACTCAGGAAAGCTAAGCGTTAGTGGCACATTCAGAAATATACAGAGACATCTATTCATGGAAAATTGCAGCAACAGGTATACAGAAAGAAGCACATTTTTATATTAATACAATCTTTAATGGTGAATGGAAATTTCCACAAAGTAAAACCTCCAGTCATAGAGTCATACAGCATGGAAACAGACTCTTCATTCCAAGTAGTTCACACTGACCTTGTTCCCAAACTAAACTGGTCCCACTTGCCCACACTTGGCCCATAACCCTCCAAACCTTTCCTATTCATGTACTTATCCAAATGTCTTTTATATGTTGTAACTGTACCCACATCCACCACTTCCTCTGGCAGTTCATTCCACACATGAACCATTCTCTGTGTAAAAAGGTTGCACCTCATGTCCTTTGAATAACTTTCTCCTTTCACCTTAAAAATATGCCCCCTAGTTTTGAACTCCCCGACCCTAGGGAAAAGACCTTTGCTATTCACCTCATCTATGCCCCTCATGATTTTATAAACCTCTATAAGATCACCCCTCAACCTCCTACGCTCCAGTGAAAAAAGTCCCAGTCTATCCAGCCTATTTTTGTAACTCTAACACCCCATTCCCAGCAACATCCTGGTAAATCTTTTCTGAACCCTCTCCAGTTTAATAATATCCTTCCTCTATCAGGGCAACCAGAACTGGACACAGAACAGGCCTCACCAATGTCCTGTACAACTTCAACATGACGTCCCAACTCCCATACTCAAAAGGTATGAGCAATAAAGGCAAACGTGCCAAACACCTTCTTCACCACCCTGTCTACCTGTGATGCAAACTTCAAAGAAAATTATGTACCGAACCTCTCGGTCTCTTTCTACAACACTATCTAGGGCCCTACCATTAATTGTAAAGGTCCTGTCCTTGTTTGTATTGCCAAAATTCAATATCTCACTTTTATCCAATTGAAACTCCACCAACCACTCCTCAGCTCATTGACTCAATTGTTCAAGATCACTTTGTAATCTTTGATAGCCTTCTTCAGTGTCCAGTCATTTCACAGAGTGTCACATAAAGAATCAACATAAATGGGCTAGGAATCAGAACCCCAGGTTCTGGGGACAATGTATTGAATTATACCATGGGCAGATGATGAAATTTGAACTGAATGTGACTACAATTGGTTGCCCTGATAGAGGAAGGATATTATTAAACTGGAGAGGGTTCAGAAAAGATTTACCAGGATGTTGCTGGGAATGGGGTGTTAGAGTTACAAAAATAGGCTGGATAGACTGGGACTTTTTTCACTGGAGCGTAGGAGGTTGAGGGGTGATCTTATAGAGGTCAATTATTATCAAACTCATCTGGTCGATTAATTGAAGGAAATCTGCCATCCTTACCTGGTCTGGCTTACGTGTGACTCCAGAATCACAGCAATGTCATTCACTCTCCACTACCCTCTGGGCAATTAGGGATGGGCAATAAATGCTGGTCTAGACTAATGGCATCTATATCCTTCGAATGAATACAAATAAGCTAATCTAATAAATCAGTGTGTCAAAGCAACACATTTTGAATTGGTGTGCACATAAACAATGCTGGTGCATCAATGTAACAACTGTTTTTAAGACTGAGCAGTTCAGCTCAGCAAATAAATGAATGTATGGGAGTGAACCAAAGAATATCAGAATGGTCAAGGCTTCAGCCTAACCTGTGCTGACAGCTGCTCTCATGTGAATGTTGCTGAACCCTAGTCCAGAATGGAAGGCTTCAAACTCAATCCAGTCTCCATTAAATTAGCCGATCTCAGCTGGGGGAAGAGGTTAAGACTACTATAGAGGTCAGGAGAGGTGAGAAAATGCAAGAAAAGTCAGGAATCCCACTGGTATCTGTGCTCACTGATCCCTGCAGAAAAATGCAGACATGTCTTAGGAGAAGACCACCTCAAGGGCTCACACTCAGGCTCCTTAATGACATTCACAGTCTAATAGCATCGTAAGAATGTATGAAGGTACCAGTGAGCTACTGGTCTGTGTGCATAACTGCAGCAAAAGAGTCCACACCTTTGAGGATGAGAAATAATTCTCAGAATTATTAAAGACCATTGCCAAACAAATGCTGATGAAATCAAACTGTTACTGATCCACAGTTTGAGGAGTTGAACAATAAACTGATGACAGCATGTTTGCTAAAATCTCCAGTAAGTTAATCCAATTTCTTTACATCCACACACAATATCTGTTCACCATTGTCTGGGGAAACTGCCTAAAATTAAAACATTTCTGAAAATATTAATGGAGTCATTGTATCAAATGTAAGATAATCTCAATTAATCCGAATATCTTATCACAAAAATAATTTATATATACACAGTCAAGAGTGCACAATGTCTTGTAAAAGGCACACCCAGACAAACATTTTGTATTTGTCTATGATGGAACCAAGGACTGAGATAAGAAAATAACCAGATGGTGCGATAGAGATTTATCAGGGAGTGATGGGGTGGTGCGATAGAGATTGATCAGGGAGTGAGGAGATGGTGCGATAGAGGTTCATCAGGGAGTGATGAGGTGGTGCGATAGAGATTCATCAAGGGGTTGTGAGATAGAGAAGACAGACAGATCCCTTAAGGAATATAAAGAAAGCAGGAAAGAACTTAAACGAGCAGTTAAGAGGGCTAAAAGGGGCTATGAAATGACCTGGCCAAACTGATTAAGGAAAATCTCAAGGCTTTTTCTACATATATAAGGAGCACAACAGTATCTGGGGAAAGCATAGGTCCACTCAAGGTCACAGGAGGGAATTTATATGAGGAGCTGGAGGAAGTGAGTGAAGTCTTTAATGAACATTTTGTCTTGGTGTTCACAAAGGAGAAAGATGTGGTGGATGGTGAGTCGAGAGACGGGTATGTTGATATTCTGGGGCATGTCAACATAGGAAAGGACATGGTGTTGGGTGTTTGAAAAGGCATTAAGATAATGGAGGAGCTTAGTTACATGGTTAAGGTGGAGTGACTAGGGTTGTTTGACTTGGAACAAGACAAGATTGAGGTGAAGTTTGTTTAGAAAAGGTAGAGAAAGAAAATTTGTTCTCTTTATACAACTGAAGCAAGACTTCACTACTTTTATACACAATTCCTGTTGTAAGAAAGGCTAACATTCCATTAGCCGACACAGTAACTTGCTGCCAATGCACATTAGCCTTCAGTGACTAATCAACAAGGTCACCAGGTCCCTTTGAACACTTGCTCTGTCCAACCTCTTACTATTTCAGAAATACTCTGCGCATCTGTTCCTTATACCAAAGTGGATGACCTCACGTTTTTCCACATTATAATCCATCTGCCATGTTCTTGTCCAGTTGTTAAGCCTGTCCAAATCCTCCTGAAGCTGCTTTACATCTTCCTCAAAATCTTTATCAAACCCTCACATATCTTCTTTCTTAGCTTCATACTGAAGTTCCTCAATCCTGAAACCAGTCTTGTGAACTGTTTCTGCACTCTCTCCAATGCTTTCATATCCTCTTTAAAACATGCTAGGATGCTGTATGCTTTATGAACCATATTCCCAACCTATCCCA